AAAAAAAAAAACAAACTCCTTTCATTTTTATTTGATAGTTGAAAATACAAATCTGATTAAATTTAAGACAAATCTCAAAAAATATTCTGAACTTTACAGAAAATAAGCCAGAAAGTATCCAGATACTTACTATAAAGCGATGAAGTCCATAGTACAATAGAATATCTGCTAAAGTAAAGTTATATCCTGTAAGGTAGACTTTATCTTCAAGATACAAATTCAGATCCTAGAAAAAAACAGTAAAACATTAATGAACAGTATTAACTTGAAAACATTTAGATGGCTATCAGAAATTAAATACTGATATTTAATAAATTCACCCATTCATTCATTTATTCTTTCAGTTGTGGGGAAGGAACTCAGGGCTTTGCACATGCAAACGAAACAAATGCTATGTCACTGATTGACAAATTTATTTATTTATTAATTAATTCAATAAATTAATAAGTCAAAATTAATCTTCGATATTAAGACAAAAATTCATTCAAAATCACAATTAGACTCCAGTCACATCATTTAAAAACACAGAATGAACATTATTAGTCTCATTTGATTTTAAGGAACATTAAAAAATGAAAGAATATTTAAAAAACATTAGAAAATGATAGACTTCTGAACAATCTCTACCTTTTTGCTGGGCATAGTGGTTTAAGACTGCAACCCCAATAATTTGGGAGGCTAAGATAAGGGGTTCAAAAATTCGAGGTCAGCCTCGGCAACTTAGCAAGACCTGCCTCAACGTAAAAACAAAAAGGGCTAATAATGGCAATGGATGGTAGCCCACACCTGCAATCAGGAAAACCAGGAATTTGAGCAAGGAGGATCCCAGGTTCAAGGTCAGCCTTGACAATTTAATGAGACCCTCAGCAGACAATAGAGATGCTGTCTCAAAATAAAAAATCTGAAAAAAGAATGGGGGAAATCGCTCAGCCAGCAGCTCAGGGATTTGAGTGCCCTTGAGTTTAATCCTAAATTTAAATTTAAAAAGAGCTGGGGTTATAGCTCAATCCCCAGTACAAAAAAAAAAGTTGAGAATTCCAAGTTACAGGGTTTTACAGTACATTTGTGTATATGTATGTGTACTTTATGCATACACATACATTTTAAAAACTTTAATTGGAATACATTACACATAACACAAAATTTACCAACTATTTTTAAGCATACACTTCAGTAAGGTTTACAGTTGTTTACATTGCTGCATAACCAATCTACAAACTTTTTCACCTTGCAAAACTAGA